TTGAATTTTGGTTGAATTTTAAGTGATTCATATAAAGTTTTGAATTTTGGTTGAATTTTGATAGCCACATATGAAAATGGTGGGATGAGGCAATGATGGAGGTATTAACCTAGTTGAGGCTCGAGATGCATGATATTTCTACATTACATAAAATGAGTTATCGATTTCTACTGCATCGATATACGGAAGGGCTATATTGCAGGTGACTTTTGAGATTGTTGTTTTACCTGCATTTATTTGACATGGAGGTTTGTCTTGCAAAAAAAAATTACATGGAGGGTTTTTTTGCAAAAATCCCTTATGTTTTCAAACGGAGTTATCGACTGCCACATCATCGCTACACGGGAGGGCAGTATTGCGGGTGACTTTTGAGATTGTGGGGTTGACTTGCATAATTCGGACTTGGAGGGTAAACTTGCAAACGAAATTGACTTAGAGGGTTGTTTTGCAGAAAACCCTTATTAAAAAGTAAAAGTTATAGCTAATCCATCGCTAATCAATGTTAGCAAAATATTTTAATCTATCAATGATGCAAGTGGTTGTGTGGCTATTCTTAATTTGTTTCTAAAGTAGCTAGGCTAATACCCGCATAATGTGCAGGTTTTTTTCATCCATAATTTGTTAATTATAACAATTTACATGGATTGAATATTTTGTTAAATAATCCTTTTGGTGTTTGTTTACTAATCATTTTGATGTATCTCTCTAGTTTATTGTTTTTTTTTATTTATTTATTTTTAATTACATTGTTTAACACTTATTTACAATTATTCACCTTAAAAAAAAATTATCTTTTAAATATTTTTAAGTAAACGAAAAAGTAATGTTGATTTAATATCTTATATTTATCTTAAAATTACCGTAAATTTAACTAATATTCATTGTCATTAATCATATATATATTATAGTAAATGAAAACATAAAATAAATTCTAATATCATATTATATATTTTTTTACTTTAATAAATAAAAAATTAATTAAAATTCTATTGATTTATTTTATGATTAAGTTTATACAATTTAATACAGTGAAATTTAAATAAGTTCATTTATATATGAGTTTGATATACTTTTATAACTAATTAAATACTTAATTTATAAGTGAAAATGTCAATTTTCATATAAACAATAATTAACGGATATAAATTTAAATTAAATTATATAAAATAAAAAATGTAATATGCTGATGTGACACATTTCACTCTCTGCATTGCTGATGTGGCGTAAGGATGGAGAGAGTTGGCCAATTTTCATATATATGATTCTAAATCGAATTAAAAAGAACCGTTTGTATTTTATTTTAAAAAGAAACTAAAACCATCAAAATTCGAGGAGGAAAGGTAAATAAAACTAACCAAATAAATCTAACTACAATTTTTTCGGATTATCCTAGAAAATAATGTACTATTTTTGTTTGTGTGTGTTTACATGTAAGCTTTTTAATATAAAACAACAAAACATATTTTTAGAGAGAAGAATCACAATGTCATCTTCCAAATTTGTCTTCATGAATGTAAGTTTATATATGGTTTATAGTTCATTGTTTATCATCATGACTACCTCTGTAATCACAATTGAATACTCAATAGTCTTTTGAAATGCCTTATATATATAGGTAATTTCTTCAAAGACCTTACCGGTCCAGATTTGAAAGATCCATCCTATCTAACAAGACTTAAACTATATTGCTACTGGAGTATTGTCCCGGGACAGGGGGTAAGCTGCTATGACACCGAAAGACAATGTAGGGATGATCTTGGCAACAATAATTGTAATCGTTATGCAAAGAAGAACTAAGAAATTTGACGAACATTTATAAGTACTAAATATTTTCATACGTTTACTCATAATACAAGTTGTAAATATTATTTGACTTCACCATATAGAATTATGTAATGCAAAATGATAAACCTTCTTTCTCTTCTTTTTATGTGATATGTATTCTTAAACTTTATTATTTTGATAATAAATTAATAATTAGTATATTCTTTGATTTCAATTTTTGTGAGACTCGAAATTGTTTTTGATTTGCTTCTAACTCCAATTACGGCCACTTATAAATTTTACTAAAATGTATCAATCCTTACTCAAAGATCGTATTAACAAAAAAAAGTAAGTCAAGATTTTCATCATAATATTTTTTTTTTTGAATCTAATGTTAAATTATATTCAAAAAAAAATATCGTTTGTACAACTAGTGCAACGTTTGTCTGATGTTTAAATTATGGAAAAACTGAACTCAAAGAAACTTAATGTCTTGATTCAAACCACCTTTTTAGCCCTTTGTCATATCTTCTATCTCCCAAAAGTTTGATGGCTGAAAGAGTGTTCCGAGTGTGTTTGTCGATCCAAGCAACTAGTTGACCTGCCGAGTTATGAGGTTCCCCATGCCTTTTACCATTCCGCTCTCGCCAAATTGTGTAAACTGATGCTTGGAGAATGTAACGTGCCAAGAAACTCTCTATTCGGTTCTGCTGCATATTGGAGATATAAGTAATGAGGGAGTGCCAATCCGTTGATTACCTTGATTTGAAAATGTTCTTAACAATACGTTTTTTTTAACATTTGAATATTAACAATACATTTATGAAACAAATTATAAAAATAAGGAATTATGATAATTTAGTCTTCATGAATATTTTGCAACATTAAATTTTTTCTTAAGACCAATTTTTGGTACAAATTAACGGCGTTTTTTTTTTTGTCTTTAAAACTTCTCGTTAAGAAATGATCAATTGAAAGAGTGGGTTTAGGATGCTCTATATTTGTATGAAATAGCCTTCAATCAAAAATTGATTGATAAACCAATAATGCGTTTTTTCAAAAAAAACGTTTTGTCAAATAAATCTATGAGCATTTTTATTGATAACTTTTGGGTATTACTTATGAAATTTTGTGAGTCATTTACTTGTTATAAAAAGTTTCCACTTTTGATTTAGAAAATTATGATATTAAATTTAGTTATTTTTTAACTATAAACAAAACCCACAATTTATAACAGAGAACATAACAATTTATATATATATATATATTAAAAACGCTAACTAATACTTTTTTACACTTTCCCATTTTTTGAGATTGGTACTGGATATTGTTGTCACATGCATGCACGTATCAAAATAAAAAATTTTGATGTCGTTGTGAACAATTCTGAGCTGGAGAATTGATTATTCACAATTAATGATAATAATGTTCGAGATATGGCCATATGGGGATTGATTTTCACGTTACCGTCTTCTTCAACCATACAAAATGTTTCCTTAATAACATGTTTTCAATTATAAAAAAAAAAACACAATTTTTAGTAATAAGATACTCCCTCTGTTTCACAAAGAGTGTCATTCTACCATTCTTCACACAAATTAAGAAAAGTAAACAAATTTCTTCTCTACCCCTTATTAATATACTAGATAATACCCTCTCTCTAATTAATAAGCTGAAAAAGTAGGGATAAAAAAAGAGAATTGGTCTTAAAAACTGCATTGAAAACATAAAACGACACTCTTTGTGAAACAAGATTAAAACCTTAAAACAACACTCTTTGTGAAACGGAGGGAGTATTAAAAATGATAGTACATTATTGTATTCCATTTATTTCGTAAAAGAAATGTTGTTCTAGGTAGACATGTGTTTTTATTTGTTGTCTCTCGTAAATAAGAAGGATAAAATGGTCTGCTTTCTCCAATTTGTTAGATGATTTTGGATTGATATGTGTCTCTTTCTCTTATTTCTCGTGTTACTGAGTTTTTTTATTAATTAATGTGTGGTTGACAAAAAAAAAATAAGAAGGATAAAATTTATCTTTTAAAAAAGTTTATATTGAAAATTTAAAGACACTTTTTAGAAACAATAACATAATAACAAAATTCTAATTTTTTCTTACCACAAATTAATTTTTTTTTTAAAACAATTCCCTGAAGTCAAATATATAAGATAAGCATAAAATGATATTTATAAGCTAAAAAGAACACTTATTTTGAAAGAAAAGAAACATAATACTTAGTACAAACATAGTAGTTTGTACTAGCGGGTTGTTGAATTTTAGCGCAGATTTGAATCTCTAATAAGATGTATAAGCTATAGATGAAAGGAAAAAAAACATCTTTTTTGATATGAATAATAATAATCAAGAACTTTTCTAAAATTTCATTTGTAAACATTTTTTCTTCCGATTGGGCTACCAATCATAGAGTGACTTTTTAATTAATGTATGGTTGAAAAAAAAATAATAATCAAAAACTTTATCGCAAAAATAAGAAAAGAGATTGAAAATGTACATTTTTTTTTTGTCAAAGGATTGAAAATGTACATTTAAATCCAAAAATATTTCTTATTTTATTACAAATAAAAGAAACAATAGTTGGAAGAGCTCTGTACTGTTTTAATTACGTTATCCTGTTTCCCATTTTTTTATCTTTTTATATTCCTTTGATCTCTTGTAAAATTAAAATTAATGCATATGTAAGGTGGAAGAAATATAACCGTGTGTGTGTATGGTTGTGCTTGACGCAAGTGGCTTTAAGCATGTGACAGTGCTCGTTTCAAGCACACATACCAAACTGAAAAAATGACCCAGGAAACAAACAAAGTGTCTTTTTTTTTTCTTAAGCACACATACAAGTTAGTTCAAGGCCAGGTCTTCTAATCTTAGACATTATGGGATTAGATTGTAATCATCTTTTTGTTTGATATAATAAAGCTTACACTAAAAGCATTAAAGTGCTTAACCTTATAGCATTGTATATGTGTTTATGAATTTGTAATCCTAATTTTGAATTTTATCTGATTAAATAACATTGATGTATACGTTAGGGACACTTTGGTGGACGCACTTAGTATGAAAGGAGGAACAGGAGACCACAGTTACGCTACTAATTCACATTATCAGGTACTTAAACAATCTATGACGAATTGTGATGATATAATAGCTACTTACTATCTTGGTTCACATTTTTTGTTAAACTAATATATAGTAAATTAAAGTATGACAACTTATGATCTTCTTGGGATTTTAAACAGAGAAGTGTTTTCTATGAGAGACAACCTATGGTCATAGAAAGCGTAAGAGAAATGCTAGTGAATGTTGATTTTCCTGGTTGCATCAAAGTGGCAGACTTGGGTTGTTCTACTGGACAAAACACAGTGTTGGCCATGTCCACGATCGCCAACACGATCATAGAGTCGTACCAACAAATAAGTAAGAACCCACCAGAAATCGATTGTTATTTGAACGATCTTCCAGAGAATGATTTCAACACCACCTTCAAGTGTATTCCTTCTTTCCAAGAGAAACTGAAAATGGAGGCTAAAGGAAAGTGCTTTGTCTCGGGAGTCCCCGGTTCTTTTTACTCAAGGCTATCCCCAAGAAAGTCTCTACATTTTGTTCATTCAGCTTTTAGTATCCATTGGCTTTCTAAAATTCCAGATGGCCTTGAGAGCAACACTAAAAGCATTTATATTAAATATCCATACCCTCCAAATGTCTACAAGAGTTATTTAAATCAGTTCAAGAATGATTTTTCATTGTTCTTAAAAATGCGTTCAGAAGAGATAGTACATAATGGACATATGGTTCTAACGTTCGTTGGAAGAAAGGTTTCGGACACTTTATCCAAAGACTGTTTCCAAGTTTGGTCGTTGTTATCCGATTGCCTCCTCGATCTAGCCTCCGAGGTACATGCTCAATTACCATCTTTTTCTTTTTTATTTTTGACCATTCTTCTACCAAGTAATAAATCGTTGGGAGAAATAATGTGAGTGTAGGGATTTGTGAATAAATCAGTGATGGAATCGTTTAACATGCCATTCTACAATCCAAATGAAGAAGAGGTGAGGGAAGTTATCTTAAAGGAAGGTTCCTTCGAGATCAACAAGATCGAGAAATTTGACCATGTTGTCCCGTATAAAATTGACCGTGAGGAAGAAGATGAGGACCAATCATTTCAGTTGGAAGCTGGTATAAAGCATGCAAGCTGGGCAAGATGCATCACCGAACCATTGCTCGTTGCTCATTTTGGAGATGAAATTATCGAACCGGTGTTCAACAAGTACGCACACTATATGGCCAAGTATCTAAGCTTCTCAAACCATCGCCCTAATATGACACTCGTCATCGTAATTTCCTTGACTAGGAAATAAAGTTCATTGTTTTGTATGTGGGACGAGCAATTTCAATTCAATTATTCGTGGATTCTAAGACAAGAGTTACATGTAAAAACTACACGGCATACTCTACTATTTTTGGGGCCATTGTCAGATCGGTATGATGCACTCGAATGCTTTCACTTACTTTTCGTATACACATTTACTTTCCTAATTGTCTGGGACTATTGGTTACCAAACGAATCCTCAAACCTGAAGAGTTGTCCCTCGCTACTTTTTAAAACTAAATATTCCAAGGCAGTCCAATGCAGCACCAGAGCTTCTGGTTATTACCTTACATTTTTATGAACATTGCTCTTCCTATATAGTTGTCTATGAAAAATTCACAAATAAATATTCTGAATGCAATTTGTGTTGTTAAAGACTTTCTTTACCTATTTGATTGAATCGACACGAAGATGGAATACATACATGTTTTAAAGTAAGTTTGCTCTCAAGAGCCATTTCAACTGCAGAATCACACATAATGCACTTTATACAAATGAAAACTTGCAGGAGAAACGTGAAGGAGATTATTGCAAACCTATCTCCGTATCTGTGGGTCACAATTCATCGCAGCCAGACGCTAATAGATGTCGTCTCCTCTTAGCTTTTCAAGGATGATCTTCTCTTGCTTCGCGTCTGTTTGTTTATTTATATTAGGGAATACAAATACAAAACTTCAAGTGTCAATGCTCCAGACGATGACTGTAAACTAAAGGCAGAAATTGGGACATGTATAGGAACAAAAGTTAGGTAAGCTTGAAAAAGGATACATTCCTGATCTGGTTCCTCAGAGAAATTAGAGTGCAACGCATTCCCCATACTGTCTACTATGGCTGAAATAGTCATCGATGATTCAATGCACAGGATTGCTGTTATGGCATCTAATCGCGTGACCTCATTTCTGAACATAAGCCTTGCATGAGCTGTGTGACACCATAACACCATTTATATCCTTTTTTCCTGTTTTTGGAGTATTTTGATTGGCAAAGAGGATAACAGAAGAGGTACCTTGAGCCAGACGGATTAAGCTTTCCAACATTCTCACGGTTGTTCTTGCTACAGTTCAGAGCAAAATCAAATTACATGAAAGATATCAACCATTGTGGGATCTATCTTAGTTGTCACCACCAAGCCAGTCCTAAAATACGTTTCAGCAAGGCTATGCTCAATGACAGTTCCCATGGGACCTAATGATTTTCTAGACAAGAGTCCAAGACAACAGAAGAGCCCATCCCAGCCACGTCGCCTAAAGTAATAATTCAAAATAGATCCTATAATATCTTGGCTACCCTAATATGAATGGGGTTTGCAGAGCAATTTTCTATACAAATAAGAAATAAGAAGTCCCAGACTCCCAGCCATGATATAATAGGATTTAAAGCTGGATCCCTCACCTGATGGTAATACAAAATTAGCATCTGCAGAACAATGAAGTATTTCTTAGGAGATACCTGCATTATGAGTTGAAGATCTTCTTTGGAGTCGATAATAACTTGAAATAATTTCTTCTGCTTCCTTTGATAGGACAGGCCTGAAGTTTTTTTTCACAAACTGAATGTATCTGCATAGGTCAGGATATAAGAAGTTAATAACAACCATGAATGTAACTCTTCTGGATAATGGATCTCATGATCTGTGTAAATGTATGATACCTTTGAAGCATCGGTAGTGGCCAAATAATTGTCAGATCATCGACATCTCTGTCTTGCTCTATTTGCACCTGAGTTGATTACATCAATTTTTTTAAGTCATAAGTTATATATTTTGTCACAAATACTCTGCTTAATAAGGCTCACTGGCTCAGTATGCAACACAATATAGATTCTTTAAGGAAACATACCTCGGCAAGGATGTGAGAGGATACAACTACATCCCATTCGGGATTTTTTGTATCTAAGAGAACAAGTACAATGTCAAACCTGCTCAACAATGGACCGGAAAGTGCAGTATTGACAGAAAGAGCTATATTCAGTTAAGGACTTTCCGAATAAAAATATCAAAAAAAGTACACCAAATAAATTCAAATGCAAAGGGAAAACAGGAATGCTGGCCCAACTGATGATTGAAGGACGAAATGTATTTCTTAAGTGACATCACCAACTTGAATTTGAAAAAAGCATGCATGTATGTAAGCAAAAGCTTGTTTGAGGTCTACTAAATCTGAAGTGGATACACTGATCGGGATCATATTGTCCTTTAGGATTTGTTGCACCGAAGACGATTGTCTTTGTGCTAAGAGTTGTTACAAGGCCAGCCTTCAAATTGAAAAAGACCAAATTAGAAACAGAACAAAATAAGGTTGAATAACGGAGCTGATGCAGTAACAAGAAAATACATATACATGAAATTATACAGAGTGGTTTACCTTGGCAACGCTTATACTTTGTTGCTCCATTGCTTCATGTATGGTTGCTCTGTCATGCTCTCTCATGCTTCCAGAAAGAAAAAAAAGCGGTTCAGCTATACGCACGTCTCTCAAAGGAAGACACAATAGAATGCAAAATATAGAGCCATATCAATTAAAAGGAAAAATTCCTAAAATGTTTGTCAAGTTAGGCTGCCACCTTTTACCGGTCTCTGATACATAAGAGACAAGAAATTCCCAAGACCACAAGAATACTTTAAGTTCATCGAAGATCAAAAATTTTCAAGCAAATAACGCTATGGATTTATGTAAAATATTCTTATAATATATGTTTCTCCCATCGGGCATCTGGAAACTACCTATCAAATTCGTCAATGCAGCAAAGTCCACCATCTGCAAGAACAAGGGCCCCAGCTTCCAACATCCACTCTCCTGGAAACAACTTAATAAGACTATATGGGAAAAAAAAAAAAAAGTATTACGATGGACACAACAAAAGAGTTAGACAAAAGATCGGAGTGCTTACCTCCATCCTTCACTGCAGTTACAGTCAATCCAGCACTTGTGCTTCCTAGTCCCGTTGTGATTACAGCTCTGTTGCTTAGTTTTGCAGCAAACTTCAAGAACTGCGATTTTCCAGTGCCTGCCAGATATGAACAATGTAAAAGGCGGGTCTGTATGAAAGAACACTCCCATATAGAATTCAATCAGCTAAAAACCAAAAAACATGCACGACCCTTTGATTTTCTTAAACACACATGCAAGGTTTATTCTAGTTCCAAATCAATTTAGTTCAGGCGAAAAATTTGGAACTCCACCACAATTTAGGGGCATGCATATATAAGAAAATAATACTCAGTGATTGACAACAACCTGGATCACCAATGAGAAGCAAGTGAGATTCTCCCCGTACTTTTGTACCAGAAGCATCAACATGTTGCACACCTCCAATGAGTGTCAAGGCAACTGCATATTAACACATGCATATGCATACAAATCTTTCTAGAAAATTCAATGAGAAGAGATGTTGACACAAAAAAATAAGTATGCAAACAGCATACCTGCAAGCTTAACAGTGAAGAGACCAAAGACTTGGGGGCAGATACCTCGTAAGATAGCATTTCTCCCTGACGTCACGAAAATACTAAAGAATTTAGCATGAATTTTAACAAAATTTTTATGTAAGGTTTTTTCTCGAAAAGTAAGAGAGAAATGGGTGGCAGGGGAATAGTTGTTCATAATAAATGCAACAAAACAGGCATAATTGTTTCCAAGTAACAGTGAGTATTTACCTTTCAAAGGGGTATCTCTGAAGTGACTCCAAAAGTTCTTGAACTTCTCGATCATATCATCAGATATATCGATTTCTGATTTCAGCTCATTAGTTCTTCTGGATAGTGGCAGGATAATAGGTGAAAAGAAAGTAGAAAGTGAGTTAATGCTGAAACTGTAATGACCAATAGTAACTAAGAATATGAGAAATAGAATCTCATTAAAGACCTCAATAATTGTTCCAGCCAGTACCACTTTTATATACAACTTTTGGCAGGAGGTTGGTAAAGATTTCCTTAATAAAATTGATTTGTAGGTCTCTATCAAATTTATCAAGCCATTTACCTAACATGATTGGCAATCAACATAGGTTCAAGGTCGCAGCGAACATCTTTCAAGTCATGAGACCATTTTGAAGTCAAGATTCCAGAGACAACAACATCATCTACATAAAGAGAAATAAGTTATATCAGGAGGCGGAGCTGCTATGCTCGTACGTTTAGAATGGTTACACTGAGTCTTGGAATTATAGCCATAATATAGATGCAATTATGGATATGTATGTAACTATGTAAGACACAGAATAAAAACAAACAAACAAAAGCCACGGTGTTTTACCTCCAGCTTTAACATTGTCAACAAGGTCATCTTTCAGGACGACTAGAATGGACCTTGGGATAACACCAACACCTAAAACCTGAGTATTTTCTTGGATTTTGATTTCTTGATAATCGTGGCGTGTTACTGTATCATCTACAGGATCAAAGTTTGTGCCTTCACAAGATTTTGACCGCTGTCACCAAGAGTTAAAAGATATCAAAGTGCTGTAAGAGCAGTTTTTTTAAAAGAAAATGAAAGCTAAAATTGCAGAATATAATGAGAAAGCAAAAGAAAATTCTTTTATCATGAAGTGGAGAGTTATCAACTTCAAATGTTAGGGACACAATTGCAGAGACCCTAGTCTAAGTGTTTTGGCAAAACAGAAGATAGATATTAGCTAGTAAAAGAATGAAATGTGACAAACCTGAGAAGGACAAAAAGGCGGTTTCACAATAGAGTTGATTGATTCTAACTCAGGGAAAATAGGAAACCTATAGAAGAAATCAACTCAGTCAGCCATACTAAGAGAACAAGAGATGACAAATGCATATCAAAAGTTCCAACCACAATACAGAATCATACATGTGCTTGCATTTTCGGCATCGATACATCCTTTCTCCCTCATACATTTTAACAGCCCCAGACCGAATCACCGTGCCTTTCAACATCAACAAAATCCCTCGGTGTCTTACTCTAATCCGGCCAATACTCGGGAAAGTCTCTGTGTCAAAACCAAAATTAGCTAAGAGAAGCATAATAAACTCGAAAAAGAGAGTCACACACACACACACCAGGACTTCGTTCTAGAGGAGATCCACTGGTGTTGATACGAACATGTATAAATCTCTTCTCAATCCCAATCTTCTTCTCAAATTTCTTCATATGCTCCAACGCAATTTTCTACACACAAAGCTAATTGAAATCACTCACTATTTCATATAATCAAATTTGGGGGAGAAATTGAGTACATACGTGAGCTAAAATGGCTGAATCGTTGAATTGACGAAGATACTGTTCGGGATTTGAGAAAACAAGATGCGCTAGAGACGGATTATCGTCAACGAGTTCTGCGTACTCGATGAAGAGAGGGTAGTGGAGTTTGGGATCGGAAGCGAGAGAGATTTCGCGGAGCTGATCGGAATAGTTCTTTACCAGAAACTCCGTCATGGATTCTATGTGCTCCGCCGTCTGTGTCGGCGATTCCATTTCCACCATTGACGCCGGCGAAGGAGAAAGGTGGAGGATTTTGGCGGGAAATGAATGAATACGCCAATTTCTAGGTTCGCATTAGCATAAGAGGGTTTGGGCATTCGGTTTGGAAAAATTTATACCGATTTAAACCGAATAAAATTTTGGTTCGGTTCGGATGTGGTATAATTTGATTCGGTTTAAGGTAATTAATAATGGGAACCAAATTAAAATCTCTTTTTTTTTGTTACAAACCCTTCAATTTTTATGCATTTTTCTGTTTGGTAAATTTCGGTTTTGCATGGTACAATCAAAAGAAAGTGTAGAAATTAGGAACTTTTTGCAACAGATTGGTTTACATGTACTAAACCAAACTGAATCTAAAATTGAGCGAGCTTTGATTTGGGTTTGGCCAATTCAATACTGTTAACCGAAGAATTTATTACGTTAAAACTCCAAAACACTGGTGTATGTAGATGAATGAAAGAGAGCAAATGGAGATTCAAACAAAGAAATTATCATTGTTGCCTGGAAAACTCATCTATGCGTGGTTTTGTTTCGTTCTTTTTTTCTTTTGCTGCCGTAAATGCGTATAGGAAACCGAAATGATGTTAATGGAGATAGAAATAATGGGAATTACATATACAGTAAGGGCACATTTAGTGGTGAGGAGGGACAAGGGTCGAGTGTTCGTCTTCAAGGGTCTCTCTGTCTGCATCATCTTTGGAAGAGTTTCGCGAATGCAAGCTCTTCACTCCATTTAACCGCAAACAATTAAATAGAATGTGTTAGACAGATTTAAACAGTTTTGGTTTGATGAGAAAACTAATGCTAATCAACAACTATAGATGGTTTAACGATCAAGTTAGGGACCGGATTGATACCTCTCTCAGGGTTTCCTGATGTTTAGCCAAAAGCTCATTGTATTTTATCTGAAGATCAGACTTCTCAGCTTGAAGCTTCTCATAGTCAGACACAGATGGACCACCTAGCTTTTGTTGAATGAATCTGAAAGAAAACCACCGGAAAATAGAGAAAGTTATAACCTGAAGAGCTGAGATTTTCCATAAACCAAAACTACAGGATCACATGGCGGGAATGCAAGATTTAACAGAACCAACTTAATATACGTAAACAGTTAGCCTAATACGGAACAAATATTGTAAAGCTGCATTCGTGAACTTGACTTTGGAGATCTGTTATCTATAGATTGTCATAGGAGACTGGCAAGGAAGAAGAACATATAAAATTATGAAGATAATCTTCATATGTCAAATCTATCAGAAATTTCTACCAATTTCTTAGTAAAAGTCGGTATATGGAGCCCATGAAACAACATTCATATCAGGATGTAGTTCACAAAAGCTCTGGTCTAAAATTCGTACAGGCCTAGGATGGAAACCGCCATAAAAAGGGTAAAAAAAATTGTTTAAATCCCCAACTTCACCAGTCCCTGGTAATAGAACCTTGATTCAAGATTATAAGTCAGTACACAAAGTATTTCTATAGAGAATCTACAATACTCTGCTAGAAAACTAATAGATAACCGTTAAAATCTAAAAATGTGTTCATAAACTTACTCTAGAGCAGAGGAAGGCTTGTCATTCTGCTCATACAGAGAAACCAGAACTACATTCAAAACCCACGTCGTGTTCCACAACATACAAAAGAGTATAAGCGAATTATTTGCAAGAACAGGTCAGATTAATTAATCAAAGAACTGTTGCAAAACGAAATTATACCTTTGGTGAGAGAATCAAGAACTCCACTGGACTCCAAATACTTCCTGAAAGCTTCCTTCTTCACCTCTTTCTCCTGATTCATGCAGACACAAACAAAAAAAAAGGTTCAAAGATGAAATAAAAGTTACAGACAGAAAGAACATAACCGGGCATAACCAGATCCAGTGAAGAAGCAAACTTGAAATCAGGGAAAAGAGAAATAGAAAAACAGACTTGTGAAACTACATTTCTATTTGGTGTCTTTCTATCTTTCAGCATAATAGAAAGTAATAATACCTCTTTGTACCGCATCATCTCCTTGTTCCACAAAACACAAAAGAAACTTTGATGTTTCTAATAAGTGTATATTAAACCTCTTCTTTTTCCCAGCTGCATGACAAGCTTGGACCTATTTAGATCCTGCAACGAGTGAAAAACACAAAAGCTCTCTCTTTACCTAACAAAAATACTGTGAGCATCATATCAATCATGAAAAGAGATTAAAAGGGCCAGCATTGATAGGACAAAACATAAGCTTCAACTAAACCAAGCTCCCACTTCAAACATATTACATCTCACCAGTTCCCAAAACCATCCCACTCTAAGAACTTATCAAGTTTCGATTTTTCTTAAGCATAAAGCCATAAATTGGCAAGAGATCTCAAAGATTCTATCTTTATTCTCCAAATCCAGTACTACGGATCCATAAATTTGTTTGTTTTGCAAAAACAATTCAACCATAACACAAATTAGCGTAAACGTATCCATACATTTGTCAATAAAACTGTCTAAACTCAAATTAAAGCGAAAAATAGGATTTACCTTGTTCAAAGTGTTCGAAACAACGCCGGCGCAGACACAATTTGAGATCCAAAACTGGTGTCGGTCGGTGCTTCAGTTGTCCTCTTCTAAAAATTTTGCTAATACCAACGTATAATTTTATTTTCTATTGTAGGAAAATTCACCCAATATACGCTAATTTTGTTTTTTCCAAATAAAAATACATGAATTATTTTCGTTGATCGAACAATACCTCATTTAATAAATTGAGAGAATTTGTGCATAAACAAAAATGAGACGTAAAATTAGATAATCAACAATATGATTTTTGGTTTTTAATATAGGTAAATAAATTAGATAAATGGATATTTAGTTCAGTTTAATAACCAAAAAAATTATCTTATACTAGATTTGGACCCGCACGAACATGCGGGGTAAATTTTATAAAATTACAAATCTTAAAACTTTTAAACTAAAAATAATAAAAAAATTATAAAAAATGTGAAAATATTACTATAATTTTGATTGATATACAGTAGTGTTACAAAAACAATTTTATTTTATGTGGTGTATTAATAGTTTGGTGTAAATGGATAAAATTATGGTTAGTGAAGAGTTGTGTGTAAATGTTTTAAAACAATAGTGTGTTAACCATGGGAAAACACATGATAATTTTTTAATTGTTGTAATAATAATTTTCTAAATTAATCTTTAAACTGATTATATTATTATATGGTCTGACAATTTTAATGTAGTGATACATATGTTACATATGTTATTTTTTATGTAGTGGGCAACATTTTATAGTCTACTAATAAAGCCTTATTAGCCTAATATATATTTACTGATTTTTTAAAATTATTATATTTAATTAAAAATAAATCAAAACATGAGATGAAAGTTTGGATTGTCTAGGGCTTATGAATTGCATTCAATTCACAAAATATTTCGAGATTTTGACGAATCTAAAATCTCTAATTTATTGGAGGAATATTCTATATTTCAAAATACAAAATATCTAGTTTTTATTAAATTTGGGAAATATAATAACTGTTTCTTAAAACATTGGAATAATCAAATTTGCTTTTTATTTCTTCCATCTAAACTAATCAAAATTAATTAGTATAGTTTTATTATGGAAATTTTAAAAATCAATAATAAACTATGCTTTGTTATTTTTCAATTATATTAAATTGGACTGTCGCTTCCGGAAATATCTAACATTACCTTGCCAAATTAAATAAATTAACATATCTACAATTTCAAAAAAAAATTCTTCCATTAATCAGAATTTATTAGTATATTTTCTTAAAGAAATAAATTAAAATCGAAAATATATGATGATATTAAATTGATTTTTTTTGTTGTCCGTAAATATTTCAAAATATATTACGAAATTAAATAAGTTTACATATATACAATTTTGAAATTAATAGTTAGATTTTTTATGGAAACTACTTTAAAAGATTTCTATAAATTTTGGGTAGTTATTAATTTGTTTATTTTATGGGAACTACTTCAAAAAATTTCCATAAATATTGGGTAGTTGTTAATTTGTTGATTTAATTTTGGATTTTATTTTATATAAAAAAAACAAATATCAAATGGATATTATATTTTTTTTCTTTTTCAAATTTAAAAATATCAATGGAATTCTTTGTAATTAAACTACCAAAATAAGGTTACTTATGTTTGAGTGATTCCCAATTAATAGTATAAATATCTATGCGCGTAGAGAAATGTTTTTAACTTTTAAAGCATTGAAAGAACAACCTGACATGTAATAAATGTTTATCAATTGACAGAATAAACGAGGTGACATTTATTAAATGGAAACGACTTTATTTGAACATTACACAATTAATATCTGTCACAAAAATATTTTTTAGACGGAAATGAAAAAATGTAAACAACTAATATAATGGCATGGACACCCAATCTATAATTCTTCGAATTTTTAAACAACTAATCTAATTGCATGGACACTTAATTAATATTTTACACAATTTTGACATTTGTAGAAAAATAAAAAAATACATAGAGCACCATAAATAATTATAGTGTTAAATAATTTGGTCTATGTGTATATGTAAATACACACATACATATATATATATATATATATATATATATATATATATATATAACGTTATTAACATTTATATACATATAACCACGTATATGAAATCTTATTAAAATTTGTTTATATCTAAACACATATATATTACAATCATGGTATCCCAAACCGTCGAACATAGCAATTGAGCAGTACATCGCAATTGGACACCAAAATATTATTGGAATCATAAGTTTCGTCGGATTTTCTATGGATTTTAACTGTTGTTCATCGAGTTGTCACTGGATCTCACCGGATTTCATTGAATTGTCACCAGATCTTCACCAAATTTTGTCGCATTGTCGCCGCATCTACATTAGAATTTTTCAAATTGATCACTAGAACTTAGGCAGATTCATCATAACATGAACAATAATTGTGTCGAGTTTGTAGTATTGGTTGACTAAGTTCCGAACATGTTTTTCACTGGTCGCAAATAATCGGTGGCCATGGATTTTTTGTGCTCTTACAAAATAAATATATATTTTATTGGATATTCGATCTAATCGACAGAAGACACAACATGCAAGATATATATAGATCTACAATTTTTTTTGGACATCCAAAACACACATCAATTCATTTGTCTCACGCAATAGACAGATTATGAATCCAAATATCTAAGGCGCGTGAAGTCCCACAACCGCAATTGCTGCGTTTAAACCAATCAAGTCCTAAATTAATTCATCTCAATAAAGATAATAAATTCAAATACTAATTTATGCAATTTTGTTAAATTATAAAAACGAAAATACATTATTAATTTTTTTAAAAAAGAATGACCACTCAAAATGAAAATGTAAGATTTGATAATTAACTTACCATATTAATTTGTTATTAATCATTATACTTCACTAGGGGTGTCAAAATGAGCTATCATTTAATAAATGAGTTATATGATCGAGCTTAATTTAGATCGCGAGTTATGTGAGCGAGCTTTAATGAACATGAGCTAACTCATGAGCTAGGCTATTTTTAAAGTTTAGAAGATATATATATATCTATATTGTAGAAATAACAAATAAATACACCAACAAAACATATATATATTTTCCATCAAGTATAACAAATATAGAAATCTTTAATAGAAATTTTCTGTTTTACAATATAACTTTATAAGATAATAAGTAATACAAAAATAATCCTTTTAAAAAATTAATAGAATTTATCCTATTTAGAAGTTGTCTCAATCTTCTTATATAAAGTTATCGTCTCTCTCAGAACTTCACAAGTCACAGACTTCATTGATCTCAAATTAAGGATTTGATTCTCTCGCTTTGCATCTATCGTAATTTATATCTCAAAATAACAAAGTAAGTTATTTTTCAAATGATATGGTACTTGTTATCTAAGTTATAACTTTGATTTGGATTTATTTTAATAGTTATTTTTTGGATAATAATAATTATTATTATATTTTATTTTGTATAGATCGCGAGCTAGCTCATTTAACTCATGATCAAGATGATCTGAGTTCGAGTTTATGTATAGAAGCTCATAAAATAAATGAGCTGAGCTGAGCTAGCTCATGTAATATCCGAGCTCATCGTGAACTGAGCTGAGTTGAGCGAGCTAGCTCATTTTGACACCCCTATACTTCACTCTCTCATCTTTAGATGATTATATTTTTTTGAAACAAATAAATCATCATATTATTTATATAATATTAAAAGAAAATTTTTTATGCATATGCCATGATTTAAATTTTTAAAAACGAATAGAAATTGTTCAATCTATAAAAGAAAAAATATAACGGATCAAAAATTCAGACTTAAGTAATATATTTCATTTAAACGGATAAGAATTTGAATATTTATATTCACTTTCATACATTTCTTTTTTTGAAATGTATAATTTTGTATACTATAATAAACTTTTAAAATATTTAAGACCGCGGGTTTATGCGGGATAGCCCGCCACAACTCACCAATAAATTCGGCCCACAGTGGGATGTGATAAATGGGGCGGGTTAACCCGCACTAACACCCTTACAAACTGGTAATTAAGAATGCAATTGGAATATTAGATTAGGCGATCCTACGGAATAAGTGAATAATGATGCTCGAACATGTGGAATGACGGAAAATGAACCAACAAATTATGTTGAAATACTTTTCCATGAATAAAATATTAATCTTTTTTATCCATCAGTTTGATTTTGATATCCACTTGTTTAGCTTTAAGATTAATGTATTCATATGAAAACTTCCAAATCCTACAGACTTTTTCAAATCTATTATAATACACAAACTAATAATCCCACTAAGGGCTTGATTGGTTCTCCCGCTACCACCCGCAAACGCTGCGTTTGCGGGCGGTTGCGGTTGCTAGCGTTTAAAACCAATCATAAAAAATGTTTTATACCGCTCCGAACCGCCGAATTCAAAAGCTCCTTCCCACAAGCGTTTGCGGTTGCGAACGGCAGCGGTTGGCAAAAAAATTTTTTTATTCAAATCCTATATATATATATTAAAAAAAATACATAAATAACAAATAAATTTAAAAAAAATTATCAAACCCTATATATATTAACGTTAATTCTCAAAACCCTAATTTTTTCTATTTACCAAAATTATGACGTCAATCTAAACTCAAGAATGACAAAATGCAAACTAAGTATTGTAATAAAATTATTAATCCAGAGGATCTAAGAATTCAAAACATCTATTTTTTTTAGTTTGTCATTTTTTTTTTTTTTGTAGTTTGTTATATTACTTGATGCTGTTTTTTTATGAACCAAATGCATGAAGTAATAAGCACTTAACTATGAAATATATTATTTTGAATAATTATGTAGTAATGTTATATATTTTATTATTATTGATTATATATAAATTGTTTTGTATTTTATCATAATAATATTAATATTTGGTGTTTTTATACTTTATTATATAATTATAAATTATATTTTTTTGATCATTTTCGATTTAATCGTTGTCGCATCCGCTGGTTAACCAGTCATAAAACTCCCGCAAATGCATCAATTTTCAACCGCTTAACCAGTCGTTCAAAATGCATCATAACGCTTAAAACCGCA